TAATAATATATATATATATATATATATATATATATATATATACATAGATATTATTGATATTTAACTATTATTCTTTTATTATCTTTTTTTTCAGGATGAACAATTAAACTATCTTCATGATAAGAGGATTAAATATAACTTTCCACAAATGATAATTATAATATTTGAGAATCTTTGTTTCACCTTTTTTGAAAGAAAATTTTACGATAAATCTTACATGCAACTTTTCACAATCTTTAACGCAAGAGATTTCAAAGATTACTTTCAAACTAAGAAACCTTGACAAATTTACAAACTACTACAAGGGAAACAACATCCTTCCTGCAACAGTTTCATCTCTCATCGTAATGGTCCTTGGAAAAAAAAATCTAACACATAAATCCTTATACTAATAAATACAACTATCATCAATGATAAACAGTTAATAAGTAATTTCTAATTACGCCTGTTGCGGTGTTTTCGCTATTAGCATACTGACTAATTAATTGAGGAAACTCCACTATATCTCACGCATCCTAACTGCATCGTGCGAGGCCTCTAGTTGACCAGTCGATGAAAAAGGAAGGAAAATCAAGCTTGGAAGGAAAAACAAAGGGAGACGGAGACCAAGAGCGAGTGGAAGAAAACAAACAAAGGAGAAAAGGAAAGAAAAAAAGAATTAGAAAAGCTTTAGTGCCCATTGTCCGAGCCGGTGAAAGCGAGCCGTTTTCAGATTTGATCTCCGATTAGCCTTGGCACGATTCGATGGAAATCAACGGAGAACGAGCGTGTGCGTTCTCTCTTTTTCCCGTTTTATCTCGCCACCACGAAAAACATGATCGAGGATGGTGGCAAAAGAGGCAAAAGCGGTGGCGCGATGGTCCCCGCGGTTTTCTTATTTCCATGAAAATCGCCCGCTCCGATCCCGACGACAATGCCATTCCGGTGTTTTAAATGCAAATCCGCGAAAGGAAAAACCGTAAGGGCATTATAATTTATATTACTACATGTGGCAGCGCCACTTCCGGCGAGAGAGCATAGGCGCAGTTCCGGTCAGCTCGGCCTGGAGATCCTACATCGCCAGATTATGAGCCCATGCCGCTTTTACAATGGATCGTCTGCCCTGACTCATACGTCAGCGGGAATAATTTTCGTTGGCATACGCGTGTGTACGGATCTCTACACGTAAGCAACGTCGTCGTAGATGGGGCTGAAAGGAAAAGAAAAAAAATATCGTACGATCTCCGACAGGGTAAAAGTTCCTGGCACGTGTTCGATGTACTCGATAGATTCCTCGAGCTACGGCGGCCTCGACGATCGATGCCGAGAGACTTTCCGTGGCTTCGTTGTGGAATCGTGGATGGGTTATAATTATCTCAATTTTGGCCTTTTTTGTGATTTGTAAGTATTCAATTTTATTTTTTTTTTTAAATTTATTTATTTCTATGATACGAGTGGCATAGTGGCAAATAAGATGATTTCACTAAGTTATTAAAGTATGAATAAATTAAAAAAAAAAAAATAAATAGGATTTATTAATCAGTTCTAAAGAGTGTGAGGAAACTTTGGAAAGCATTTATTCAAACGCAATTAAGTATTATTTTTTAATATCATTTGCTATGGCATAAAGAATACACGATAAGTGTTAAATATAGTTTAAAGGATAAAGTGTATATATTTTGAAAATTTTTAAGATTAATAGCTGTTTCAAGGATACATGAGTAATTTTTAATTGCATTAAATTACTTCTTAGTCTAACGTATCTTTTATCGTACGATTGTATAATTAAGAATTAATTATTTTATTATTCTATTATCATTCTTTTTTTATAGGTTTATTTAAACTCTTACTGATTGTTATCATGCTTTATCATTTTTTTAATCATCATTGAATTTTTAATAACTTTTAGTCAATTTTATTTTATAACAAGCAACTTACTTGTCTATAACAAGCAACATTTTTCATTAAAGTTCATAGGCTTTTGAAATTTTTTATGATCTTTCAAAAGATCAAAGCGCAAATTGGCCATTTTTGATAAAATCTACGATCTTCTGAACCGTATTCTGAAATCGAGAAAAATTCATTTTGGCTTCTTCCACTGATTTTGATTTGTAAATAGCAGTAATGTATGCAGCTGTCAATTCGGTGACCAATCTTTGTGCTCTTCTGGCTGCAGCCTCGATCGAACCCGATGGCGTTTTGATGCTTTGTGCCGTTCTTACGATTTCCTCTTTGACGAGTTTCACCAGCAATTCGTCATCTTTTTCGTTCGAATTTTCCGTGGAGATTATCTTTCGAAAAATCTTTCTGATAGCTTCGTCTGCTATACCTGAAATAAGCAATAAGAAGCTTCTTGAAATAACCAACAATTTTATTTTTCTTTCTTTGATCTTTTTCAATCATTTTTATCGAAGTAACCTTCGATATTCCTTCAAATAAATTTCCCGACTTACTTTTGAGAAAATGAGAAAAATATGAAAGAAATTCTATTGATCGTTGACTATATAAAATAATCTAGAATAAAGCATTAATGATTTTTAGAAAATACGTATAAAATTTATTCTGGAAGAGATCTAACAAAAGGAATCGTATAGTCATTTATTCAAACTCGTTTATTAAAATTTATAATAATATTCCATAACTTTCCAAATTTCACTTCTACTTCTGGAAGAGTGATTAATTTAAAATTCTTTCCTCTCTTTAATTCGAAATTTATTTATCAAATTCCATTGCAATTTAACATAACTTTTACATTTTCTCAATAAAAAAAAAAAAGTAAATTCTACATTCTTCTAATCGCTGCGAAGGAACATCCCAAGACGTTTAATCCATCTATAAATTACACCAATACTTTACGATAAGCAACGGATAAAAAGAACAAAGGAAAACCTTTCAGATCGCCAAGACTTCCCTTGTCCCACTATCCTCAACAACAAAAGAATCTCATCGAAGAGAGAATATATCGTTCACCTGCCGCTGTTGCCCTCCTCTCGATCGATCCACGTGGATCGATCCCGCTGGATCGCGGCACGTTCCAAACTGCAATAACGATCGCGATCGATACGAGCTTTGCCATCCTTCCATCGGTCGAAACTGCCAGTCGCGCGACATTTCATTTTCTCTTTTTATACATACGCGTATCATGCCTGTTGCACGTCCGTGATGTAAATTGTAATTTTCGTTCGTTCGTTGTCGGGATCGATCATTAGGAATGATCGCGATGAGTGTCATTAAATGAAAAAGACAGAAGGGAAAGTGGAGCAGCAACGTGACGCAGTAAAAGTATATATTGTTTTGATTTTCACGTGGTTGAGCCGAGTTGGAAGGAGAAAAAGATGGTCGTCGAGAATTATAATCACGTGAAAGCGCAGAGTGCTGTTAGGGAAGAAGCACGATTTCATGGAAACTTTGCTTTTGTAAAATTCTTTGTAAAAATAAAATTCATCGTTCTACCACGTGGATATATATATATATATATATATATATATATTATTTATTCCTCATGGTAG